TTCAGTAAATTAATTACAAACTTTAACTGTCTAACTAAAATTTTTTTCATAATTTTTGCTACTCAAATAATGAGTCAAACGAATACCAGAATAATGAAGAAAGTGCAAACAATTCCAAAATGTTTTTGCAGGATACAATCAATGTTTCGAAAAGTGTTAAGACCAATTTCAAAAGAATGAAGTAATAGCAAATAATTTTTTCTTAATATATAAAATTCAGTTGTGGTTTTTAATCTAATAAAAAATATATCAAGTAATATTAGATTGCAGTTAGAATATATTCAGAAGCAAACAGAGTATCTAGCAGTATTACTTAATGCATTACAAAGCTATGCTACTGGGGGGGGAATTGAAAAGGTATAAATAGATATTATGAGAATGCACAGAAAGAGGAAAGGTTTAATTAGGACTGAACAATGCAATAAACAAAAAGTTAAAATTAGGTCATTTATCTTTATTAGAAATTGAAATGATATATTTCTTTACTACTCTTTCCAAGCTTTCACAAAATATTCTAACCTTCTTTGTTAATCAAAATGGAAACAGTTTCCTTGCTCTATTAAACAAATATACTTACATGCAGGGCTGTTCCTTGCGGGGGTGCAGCGAATAAAAGTACGCGGGTGGCGAAAATCAGGGGCGACCAGCAAAAAAGCAATCATACATAATAAATTGATAAAGAAAAGACTATTTTCCCTTATGGTATATCAAATAGCAGTGCTTTTATTTTTTAAACACAAAACGTATCAGAACACATAGGAAGATTACAGTCTATGAAAAAATTACAACTTGAGATGACACTGGAAAGTAGAACCTCTAATGATTTTTAGAAGATGCACTTTCAAAATAAGAATACATTTGTTTAACCCAGAAGTGGAGAAGCTTCAAAATGTGGCCATCAAAGGCCACATTTAAATTAGGCAGTGATAAAGTAGCATAAGTTAAGATACCTATAAATGCGACTTTAGTGAAATTATTACAGATTTTGTATAGTTTTATCACTTTATTGCATTATATTGAAATAATGAAAAAAAAAAAAAAAGTGCAGCCTTCGTAGATCCTCTAAATGAGGATCTGTTATCTGCGTTCTTAAACTAGTTTTAATTTTGTTTGAGAGAAAATGTTTACTCGCAGGAGTAAGTACTTCCAAAGCAGAAAGTAAATGGTGTGCAATGCTCTCGAAGACATGGATACTGAATATCACTTTTCCAGATTTCTATGGGATTCTTTTAAGGGTCAAAAAGAGATTTGAGGATATTATCTTCCCACAACAGAAATAACTCCATTTGTAATTCTGTATGAGATCTGATCTTTGGATATATCTACTAAATGTGGTCAAATACCAGTTTCATAGCAGAAGTGTGCTTGTCAAAACCTGAAAATCTTCAATATATTCTTCTATTAAAATATATTCTATATACTCCTATATACTAAATATATATTCTATATACTCCTATACATTCATCAAATGTTTTAGTTTTACATTTTTGCTCATTCAGCTTTTGTAGCTTCGGAAAGTGTTCTGAAGATATATCTCAGCAAGAGAGCAATACTTTGAAAAATGTTAATTTTTTTCGAAACTCTTGAATCTTTTGCCACATTTTATTATATGCTTTGCTTTGCCTTGCAAGCAAATATTTAAATTGTTTTGTTTTGTCATAACATCAGACAAAAATGCAATGTTTCTGCAAAATGCTTCATCTGATAGATCATATATTTTCTCCTGTTTTTGATAAAAGTTTAAAATTTGTCGTCGTAAAGTTAAAACTTTTATCAAAACCTGTCCTGTCGATAGCCAGCGAATCTTGCAGTAGTACGGTACATCAACACTATATTTCCTCATTAAAATTTAGCATCTGCCGAAATTCATGATGACACATTGCATTTATGCAAATATAGTTGGCAATCGAAATAGTTCTATTCACAGTGTCTTGCAAAATGGTTATTTTTTGTGCAAAGATTTTGTTGATGCAAAATGCTAACATTATTTAATTCTATTAATTTGCAAATTGTTGTAATCTATATAATTAATACAAGAGCTACAGGCCGCACAAAAATATCACAGAGCTTGCACGTTTTCCACCTCTGGCTTAACCTATGATTGTCCAAGAACTGTGATAGCAAACATTTCTGACGACAGTTGATTTTTTTTTTTTTTTTTACTTTCGAAAACTTCTAAATTTGAAAAATTAAATACATGAATACCTAATACTTACTACAATTTATAAAGTAATATGCAGGAATACTTCAAATAAACTAACTTTTTATTTAGTTTTCTAGAAGAATGACACATTGTCCTTTCATTACATTTATTTATCATCTTTATATTAATAGCATTCACAATAATTTCTTTATGAGAATAACAATCAAACTTCAAAATACGAAGATAGCAATTAGCATTTTAGAGCCTGTTTGCTGTAAACATTTGAATAATGCATAAATTCGATACTAATGTTATGAACATCTCAAATATGGTGTCAAATCAAATAATTAACATTTATGATTTAAATCATAATTTTAACTAACAGATTAAAAAAATTATTAAAATCAGATATTCTCTCATCTTTTTAATTAAAAATTTTTTATATGTTAAAATCAAAGATTAAGAAAATCTGTAATGCTTTTAAAGAGATTTTAATTACTGAATAACACAAAGAGAAGCTTTTTTTTAAAAAAAAGAATAGAATACAAGAAAATGTTACAGTTAATAGAATACAAGAAAGTGTGTCATTCCCACGTTCATTTAATATACTGGCCATAAATCTGATGATTAGAGTCCTAATTCAAAATATAGGGTGCATGATTTAGGAAAATAGCTGTAAAAACAGTGTCTTCTCAAAGTCTAAAATAAATTATCAAGAAGATACATTTTTTTATACTATACACACAAATTTGAATTTCAAAGTGTAAAAATTTTCATTTGATAAAATTAATGGAGATCTGTGTCATAGGTATAAGCCTCTATCTAAAAGTGATTTAAATGGTAATTTATTAAATGATACAAATGAAGAACAAACATAGAAATGCAGTAATATTTTACTTTATCAAACAGCATGTATGATGCTAGTTATTAGTCTAATATCCAAAATTAACCAAAAATTTGTGCATGTATTTGTACAACAGATAGAACTGTATATTTAGTGGAAACTATTAATGAATCTTTAATGCCGCAGGCAAGTGAAAATTTACTTATCCTTATTGTTGATACCATTAAAAAAGTTGAAAAGAAATTTAAATGTAAACATAGTTTTTCTAACTGATAATACAGCAAATATGGCAAAAATGAGAAAACAATTAGAAAACAAATTTCAGGATATACCTTATGATTGTTCAGCACATATACTTAATTTATTAATAAAAAAATGTAAATATATCAAATGTTCTGAGCATATTATTCAAGTTATAGAACATTTTTAAATTTAAGTCACAAGATTGCCCAAGTCAAATTCAACAAAGACAAATGGAGCTTGTTTAAATATATCACATATATTGACTACCTTAAAGTTATATTTAAAAAAAAACTGACCAATTTCCATTACATTCTGGAAAAAAATCAAAACACAACAGATAACAGTATTCAGTCCAAAGTTCTTCATATCACTGTCAGATTACATGCAAAAGATATCTTACTTTCTTTGAAGGCAATTTCAGTCGCAGCAAATAAAATTTACTTGGATAATTGAAACATTATTAAAGATGTTATAGTTTGGAAAGACTTTGAAATCAGCTTAGAAAATCTTGATGAAGCATGCATAAAATGATTTAAAATGTGATTGAAAATGCACTGTTACCAGTAACATTCTTAGCATATAGCTGAAGAAACAGGCATTGGAATTAGTAAAAGAAAAATAGGCAGACATGATTTGTTAAGCATTATATTAAAATTTATAATTAATGCTCCATCTTTCAGCAGAACCATTTTTGGAAATGGGTAGAGTCAGTGACTACAGTTCATTGGTGGAAATCAATAGTTCTTGTTAGAGAATGTATAGAAGTGAAAAAGAACTGGATATTATTGAAATCCTATGCAAGAGCTTCATCAGCAAGAACTGAAAGAATAGACAGCAAATTAAGAAATCAGTTAGGGGTTAGAAAAGAAACTTTTATTTATTTATTTTTTAGATTTTTGTTTTGTTTAAAGCACTTAAATGGCAGTAATGCATATATATAGCAACCACCTGTTTTGAAAAAGCTATGTAGATTACAGCTATAAGTAACATGCCTATGATTACGTTCACTCTAATTGTTTATTTGTATTTACATAAAACATTATAACTACAAAAGTGTTTTTTGGGGAGTGCTTTTGTTTTCATTTGTTAATGTACTGTGTATATAAGCTTATACTTAAGTTATTAAAGTGACTTTGCAAGTTGCTAATGTCAAATAAGCTGCCAAGATATCTTATTGTTTTTTATGTTACTAATTAATAAAATTATGCATAATTTATGTTATCTCTAATTATTAATTATGATATTAATTTATATGCAAATATATGAATAAATTATTTTCAATATTATATAAGTACAAATTTAATTACTTCGAAAACTGTCAATCTGTGATAACCACGGCATAAATTAATGTGCAAAAATCTGATTTAATAAAAAGTAAAATCTAATTAAAATTTTAAAAAAGTATTTTTTTCACACCCTGCTACCTTTCTCTATGAAAAATGCAAGCATGCATTCAGATACTAATAACACAGCAACCTAAAAGACACCGCTAGTTGTAATCATGCATGAAAGCCCACTATTGACTAAATAACTTCTTAAATGTGAATCACACACACACACACACACACACAAAAAAAAAAAAAAAAGGTAATTCTAGGTACATTAATAAGTTTGGTGCAAGTTTCCTACACAATCAATCAATCTTCAACTAGACTTTGACTGCTCACCTCTAATCAATTAATCAAAGAACAAATAATAATCTGACAAATGATAAGCATAAAGAAACTACTCATAACTGTATTTACTAAATATATGATAAGATAATATTACCTGACAACATCTGAACTGCTTAAATTTGGAAGATATTGTTGAAGTATACGAACTTGGGCAGCAATATTGGAACTTCGATACATTTCATGCAAGCCATAAAAAAAGTGTTTCTTAGCTAGCTTTCTAAAGCCTCTGTTACGAAAAGAAAATTATCAATTGAAATTATTAAGAAATATTTAGCTTATACAAAACATTTTATTGAAACAATTTAAAAGATTTTAAAGCTGAAAATAGCAGTTGATGTTAAAACATAAATAAATAACACATTATGAATTTATGTAACAAAACCTGTCAACCACAGACAAAACCTTTTGTTATCATAGTTGAAAGCAACCAATAGATTTGACTGTACTTTAAGTAATTAGTACTAAAAAACATTGAAAAAAGTTAAAAAAGAAGTTAAAATCAAATCTTTTTATTATTAAAATAATTCTTTACAATTAATTTGAAGAAAAAATTCTGCCCTTTTCATCCATCAAAGAAAATAATTGCATTATAGTAAAGCTACCAGTCATATACATGAATCTTCCTAAATTTCATAGAAAAAATGATAAACAGAGATTATTAAAGCATACATTTTCCTCACATTTCTTCAAATAATGTTTCATCAATAGATTGCTGAGCATATGTATTGCTAAAACAATGCTTTCTAAATGCAAACCTAAACTATCAGGTAGATTACAAAAAGTAGTGGAAGAAGCACAGAGAAAATATACTGCTAACAGTACAAAACATCTTCTACTTTGGAAATCAAGATGCAGATTGTTAATTCAAAGAAATAGGGATGTCTGAAACTATCAGGTAGATTACAAAAGGCAGTGGAAGAAGTACAGAGCAAAATATACTGATAACAGTTAAAAATGTCTTCTCACTTTGGAAATCAAGATGCAGATTGTTAATTCAAAGAAAGAGGGATGTCTGACAGAACATTTAAGAAATAACCATATTTATCTGAAAGATAATTCCAGTTCAGAAAAATAATTCTAAAAATGTGGAAATAATCTTTGCAAAAGTAAGCTTGAGTGAACTTTTATGAAATATCAATGATTATTCATAAACTTGCTAAATATTAGCAATATTAAATTTTAACAAAATTTTTAGAAGATAAGACTTATTTTTTTAAAATAGAGTCATATTAATCTTAAATAAAACCTTATATATACTGACCAACAGCATATTTTACAAATGGTGTAGGATAAGAAATGAAAAATCTATATAAAATTAAAGGTCTGCATACTAATTAAAATGTACAGATATAGGAATTAGATTGTGGAATACATAATGCTCAGCTATCAAATTGGAAAAAAAGTTCTATATTTTGAGGAATATATATATATATATTGCACAAGTATTTGCCTCAAAATAATTATTGTTTTACAGCATCTAAGAATATACCAAACTAGAATCAATCATTAAAAAAAAAATCTGAAAATTACTTCACAAAAAAGAGGGTTTTTTTTTTTTTTTTTTTTTTTTTTTTTTTTTTTTTTTTTTTTTTTTTTAACAATCTTCAAAATTTTACCTGTATCCCAGATAATTAATAGTATCTGCTACATTAAAATCTTTGGCACTATATCCTTCTCTCTCAAAAGCAAGAACAGCATTTGGTCCCAACCAAACTGAACCATCAATACGAGGAGTAATATGAACACCAAGAAATGGTAATTCAGGATGTGGAACCTGAATATACAAGATAGATCATACACCATCTATATCATCATGCATTTATATATAAATTTTAAAATAAAAATTCTTAAACTTAGGCACATGCATATTCAAGAAATATTATGAAAGGAAATTACACAAACCCTAATATGAGAAAAAAAAAATATGTCTGACTTTTTAGAATGCATCAGACTAATTTTAGAATTAGATTATAAATAGATTAACTTTTCTCACCATGGGCAAAAAAAAAAAAAAAAAAAAAAAAAAAAGACCCCCCCCCTTTTTTTTTCTATGTTAAAAAAGCTGGTACTTTGATTATCCACACCTCTTTTCCCAAAAGTCTCCAGTTAGTACTGAGTAATTTTTCACCAAGCTAAGATGCAAAAGACAATAGCCACTTTCAAAGGCAGTGCACAAAGAAATTACATAAAACACCACACAAAATTAAAAATGCAGCAAACATCTATAATTAGATATTTATGTTACTTTTCTCCCTCTGTTCTCCTCATATAGACAGCGACCTATTATAGCTTTAAAAAAAACCACCCAAGAATTGCAGAAGCTCAGCATTGCATACAACTTGGACCTGTGTACATTATATTTCTCCCCACGTACACAACAATCTCTTTTCATTTAAAAAACATCAGAGAATTGCACAAATTCAACACTGCACACAAATTTTCATCCATAAAATTTGATCGCTTAGGAAGTACAACTACATGAAATGTGAATTTTACATTATCTGTTGTTAAACAAAATGACATATTTCTGAAGAAATGTAATATTTTCTTTTTTTTGAATCAGCTGACAAACTCAACAGGCCTGTTATGATTCCTTAAAAGAACAATTAAAAGAACAAAAATGTACTAAAATGCATCGACTTTGAAGTTAGAAATCAGCTCTTGACTGTAGCATACATGCACATATTTAGGTGAGTTGCCACATACATACATGTAGGCAACATCAAGAGTTTCCCGTTTTAGTGACATGGTGCGATGCTTTGTGAGTTCTTTCCTGGAGGGTGACAATAATCAGAAAGAACAGCTTAGCTTTTCCAATTTTTGCATCACCTATTCATCACCATAACTGGCCTGAAAAACTGATAATTTTGACATCTCTTGTCATACCCTGTTACAAAAAGCATTTAATTTATATTCTGAATTTCATCAGAATATTGCTTGCAACAAAGAATAATTTAAAAACAATGCACATGCATAACAATATTATTGGTGTGCATTTTACATAATTCTAATAAATCAAACATGTCACTATTATATATCATACAGTTCTGCTAGAGAAGTGACATGTAATGATAGTTCAACTGAGTCTAGTTTGCCATTTTAAAAACACTTTCTCTTTCCTTCCTTTATTTTCATATCTATACAACAGAAAATTTCACAGCTCTGATGACCATACCTATACCATTTAGATATAATTTTTTTAAAAAAAAACTAAATAAAAACATTGCTATCAGTGAGAAAATATTCATAAATAGTTATAAATTTTGTTTAGATGAAATAATTTAGTTTATAATTTTGCTTTTCTTCACATAATGCAAACAAATATTAAATATAAAATTATATATATATACAGAATTTTGCATTTTCCACCATCATCCAAACAAGCTCCTTTTTTAATGCTACAGAACATAAACAAACTTAGTTATGTTTTTATTTTAAAATAATAATGATAGAATTTTTAAAAAAAACTAAAACACACATTAGAAGGTTACAAAAACTTAGTTCAACAAACATGATAAATAAATTATTTAATGGATCTCATTTGTGTTTATGCATACCAAAGTATTATATATAATATAGCTAATCTTATGCTGTCATTTGGTATAAAAATTGTCAAAGCATTGATAACAAATTAAAATATAAACTTACAGGGTATATATTAGTTTTCACAAGATTAGATTTTTCTGGTTTTAGAACAAGATACTCTCCCCTGAAAGGGATTATTCTGGGCTCTGGACTACACCCTGTCATAATGGCTAAATTGTCCGAGTGCAAGCCAGCGCAGGTTACAACATGCTTACATAGCAATTCCTAAAATGAAAAATAATAAAAAGTTAAGCCTAATATTTTAAAAAGAGTATAAAAAATCTAGAATTAAAAGAATGTATCAAATAATAATGACTTCAAGAATTATATAAATAAAGCCTTAAATAAATTACTTTAGTTTTGCTTTGCACTAAAACAAAAGGTTCAGGTGTCTTTGTAGTTGGAGAAACAACATGAAGACCCTTGACACAAAAATTTAAATAAATATCAGCTCCTCGAACTTTGCATTCTTCAGCAAATGACTTGTTTACTTCTGCCCAATCAACAATACCAGTATTAGGAGACCATATTGCCTTTAAACCCTGTTAATATTATAGAAAATTTACAAGTAAGTTATTGAAACTACACAGAAAGTCAGAACACTGAATAATATATTCAATACACTAAAAATTATTATGAAGCCTAATATGTAATAATTAAATAAATAAATTTTTTATTTATTTTGTTTATTTCAGACAAAGATAATGTTTATAACATTTTTAAATCCTTCAGTTACGTAATTGGTTACATAAATATAAACTTAAAGAATAATTAATAAACATTACCATAATAAGCATAAGTGCAAGAGAAAAAGTACATAGAATTAACATTTATTTGCACATTTCAGATAATCAAATTAGATTACATATATATGATATCTTTAAATGTTATGAGGATTAGTCAAAAAGGTATTTGCACTGCTTAAGAAAACAAAACAGGATAGAAATTTTATAATAACTTTAATTGTATCTTAAAGTTCCATTCCAACTCTACTTTTCAACATAATTACCTCTGTTGTGTGGTACAAGTTTTTCGATGCCTTCTGCAAAGAAATCCTGTCCAATGCCTGATAACCATTCTTGGGTTGCAGCTTTCACCTTGTCATCTAAGTGGTATCATTGCTTTGAAAGTTCTGCTTTCATGGGACAAAAACACGCAAATCACATGGCACAAGGTCTGGGCTATAAGGAGGGTGATCCCACGCTTCCCACCTAAACGTTTTCAGAAGGTTACACGTTTGTTTTCCTGCATGCGGTTTTGCATTGTCATGCAGTAGCACAATGCCTTTCGACAATTTACTTGGCCATCTAACTGATCGTCACAATCATTTTAGTGTTTCACAATAAGAAGAAGCATTAATTGTGGCACCCTTGGGCATAAAGTCTGTATGCATCCAACCTTCTCTGTTGAAAAACAGCATCAGCATCACTTTTCCCACAAAGCCAGCCAGATGGTATAGTGGTTAGGGGAAGACAGTGATACTGAAGGGCCCAGGTCAGGGCCATTCCTAGGCCATTGGCTACCCATGTACTTTTCTAAGATTGCTGCCCCCAAATTAAAAAAACATAAAATGCTCAATGATTAAAAAAATATTTATTTCATACTTATTAAGCACTTACAGATAACAAATTGCATAGAAAGTACTTACATATGACAAGTACTTACAATGAATTTAAAATATTTAGACATGGTATCATGATAGTCTGGCTGCCCCTGATTTTCGCCGCTCACGTACTTTTACATGCTGAATACCTGCTAGGAATGTCTCTGGCCCCAGTTCAAATCCCGGAGAAGGCATGGATGTAATTTGTCTGTCCCCTCACAGGAAGTAGCAATAACTGCCTATTAGATGCTTCCATAATAAAATAGTCACCACTATTAAAAATAATCAACGCAAAACAAAAAAAAAAAAAAAAAAAACTTTCCCACAGATGGAATAGTTCAACACTTTTTTGAGTCGGGGGAAGTGGAATGTTTCAACTTGAGGGAGCTGCATTTCGTTTCAGGTGAGAATTGGTGAATCCAAGACTCATCTCCGGTCACAATTTTGTCCAAAATCTCATTTCCTTTCTTTTGATAACACTGCAGAAATTTCACTTTCAAAATGCTTCCCTTTATGTTCCTCCGTCAGTAGATAAGGCACCCATCGAGCACAAACTTTATGAAATTAAAGCTGATCAGAAATAATGTTATACCCACTTACATGATAAATATCTAGTTCTTTAGAGATTTTGTCTATTGTTATGCATCTGTTTGCAAGAATGCATTCATTCACGTGAGCAGCAATTTCAGAATTTGTGGCAGTTTATGGTCTTCCCTCGCGCTCAGCTTTGTTAAATATCTGTACGTCCGTTCTCAAACATGTTGCACCACTTAATGATAGCTTGACGAGACATTACATTTTCACCATAAACCAAGTTCCACGTTCCTCTTTTGCTATGATTATCAAGCAAAATGCATGATTTGTTCCGGCTGTCATCAAGTGACTGCACAAAGGGTGCAGAAGGTAGACTGAGTCAGGACAGTAGGTCCAAGAGGGCAGGAGCTGATGGTGAAAGGGGGTGTGACAGCTTGTCACATGAGCTGTAAGCAGACATGGCATTAGTTGCGGGATTCCCAGGGAAATTCTGCAAAGTTCAACAGGAAAGTTAACAAGACAAAATGATAGAGAGTCCGTAGGTCACGTGGGTGGTTACCCACCCAAGTGAATGCTCAGACGCATTCACCATAAATTTCATGCAACTGCCAATAAATATCAGAGCAGTTATACCTTTTTGACCAGAAAAAAATAAATCACTGAACGCATTTCCAATTTGGATGCCACTTGCAGAGATAGAGATGCTTACTGATTATCAAACAAACTAAAATTGCTTCATGAAAGCCACTACATAACATGATACAGCTAAGTGTCTGAAGTATTACCAGACAGTTTCATCAAAACAGCCTTTGACAGAAAATTTTTACAAAGGGGTTCAACTAACGTTCTGACATACATAGTATCATATTAATTTCTAATCGTGCATGTTATTCTAGCCCAGTAAATCTTTATAATAGATTTTATACTACATATTCTTAAAATAAAAAAATCATAAAATTATATAAAAATATTTAGCTTTATGCTACAACTAGCTTTTACCAGTAGCTTCCCTCGCATTGATGTCGTTAAATAAGTTTCAAACCCGCGTGAATTTTAAAAATACACTCCGTAAAAAATTTCAGTAAATACTGCCCTTCTTCAATACCCATAGGCTGCGGATATTTTGTATCGCCACGAAATCTAGTAAAACTGCTACACATATTTCTCAATGACTGAAAAGCGTTTGTGAAAGAAGAGCCAAAAGCTAGAAATCCTGAAGGATTTTAAATAATAAATTAAATTAAACAAATAAAAATTAATGAATGCTTTAATAAACAATTAATAAATGTTATGTTTCATGCCTTAATTACTTAACCAATCATTATGAAATTTTCAAGAAATATTTTTGATATATTAGGAAAGGCTATAAGCTATAAAATGTTCGTGTGGCTTAAGCCACGCACCTCGTGCACAGACAAACTTTATTGGTTCAATCCCAACAAGCCAAAGTAAGCAGTATAAAAATTGTAAAATTATTGCAACAAAAACATAAACTAATTAAACAAATACTATTACTTTAAGCAGACTCAGTCAAAAAAATTCGGCGATTCCGGATTATCGATTTTTCCGGATTATAGATCATCACTTTAAATCTGGTAAGATGGCATGCAGAAATTATAAAATAAAAAATATGAAACCGTAATTTATGAAATAAAGAACAATTATGATCTAAAGGGTATCAAAATTTACAAAAAAAAAAAAAGCTTAATATTTATTTGTTTACTTTATTAAACATTTCTTTCAATGTAAGTTGTTTAAGTTGCTTCGTTTTATGTGATAATACTTTCTCTTTAATTCTATAAACAGACATAATTTCTTGTTCAGTTACAAAGTTCCACTGTTCAAGTTCTATAATTGCTGTGTCAAGAATACCGACTAATTTGTCAATTGAAATTTTTTCGTTTTCAATAACCTCTGCGTCACTTTCTTTACTATCGGAAACGAATTATAATGACGGGGAATTTGTTTTAAATCATATCAAAGACGGAGTACATCAAGATGAAATACTACATTTAGTAAGAAATTAAAAGCCAAATAAAATAAAAACATCTGCCCTGAAGATAAGGATAGTGCTGACAGATCAAGTTCCAATTCATTGCGTGCCACTGCATTCCCCCCCCCCTGCCGCCGCCGCAGAGCAGTGTGAAATTGATAAACAGATTTCGGAATGGTTAGAGAAACAAAGGATATGCCTTTATCCATTTTTTGCAGCAATTCCACTTTTTGTTTAATATACTTCGAAACATATTTTCGCTTTGTAGATGCTTTACATATTAGTAAATATATATCGGAAATTCTATTTGACATAATTGAAAGTTCAAGCTTACCTTTATAAAATTGCTCTAACAGTGTGCAAAAAATAATAAGCCGGATCCAATTCGAAGATTAAGGAACAATGCAATCTGCAACATTAACTGAATTAAATAATTTTAGCTTAGCTTATACCGTCTGTTATACATTAAACGCGCATGCGTAAACGTATTATGCGCATGCGCATAGGCATATTCGCAACCATAAAGGTCAACTCGACGCATGCGCAGAAAGTTTGTAGCTTTGAGGTCCAGATTATAGATCATTCCGGATTATGGGTGTCCGAATTAACGACTTTTGACTGTATTTTGATAAATATTCATTAAGTGAAATTTAAAATATTCTGTTAAAAATTTGATGTTGGCAACTGCTTTAAAATCAAGCATTGAGCCTTACATGCAATTTGAATTTCAGACCACTGGCTGTAAGATATTAAATTTCAGTTATTGGAAAATTTAAGATAAATCTCAATTTGCAAAACATGAGATAAACCACACATTAAAAAATACTGAGATTGACTACATATAAAATTTATAAGTTTAATGCAAATAACATACACTTTACTCTATATTTTTGTAAATGAATTTTATCTAATGTTAATCTGATAAATGACTAATAGGACTGGGTTTATTACATTATAGAAAGCAGACAATAACTAATTCCTTTAGAAGAAGATGCCTTCCACAAAAACTTTCTGAGAAAAATGGCTAATATTGTTGTTGATGAGGAAAACTACAAAAATTCTCATACAGCTAATCTATTCACTTAAAATTAAGACACCAATGTTCAGAAGTTTTATCTGCTTGCTACTTCCGGGACCCAACCACTAATTACGAAACATAACTTGAGTATGATGGCTTAATATGAACATACTTTAATGTATATACACCATTGTATATTCTATAACAAAGTAAGAAATTTTGATACATTAAAAAAGAGATTTGAGTATGACGAATTTAATTTAATGAAACTCCTTCATTTATTTAATGAATTTTATTTTTTTTTTAATTTTTATAACCTGCTTACATAAGTAACTTCACTTTCTTTTTAAATTTTTTTTTAAAGCTTTCAGATTTTACATTACACCCAGCAGTTAGATCATAATTCAATTCAACAGCAATATTGCATGATAATTTTAAAATGAGCATATCTTTAGAATTTCCAGCACACAGTCTTACTCATTGGAGATAAAAATGTTTTTTCCATATAGTGTTGCCATTGCTCGCTTTGAAATCGTTGAGTTTGTTAACCAAAAACTTGTTAAAATGTTACAAAATATGAAATCGATAATTAAACAATTAATTAAATAAAATAAAAAAATTCGAACTTCCAGATGCCTATATTCTGTGGAGGATTACGTTATTCAAAATTTGATGGCTCTAGGTACCGTTGTTTTATCACAATGTGAGAAACATACATACATTTGAGCAAATTCTTCATTATTTAATTTCTTTCACAGGGTGATAATATTTGGTGGCAACAATATGAAAAGTGAAATGGATATTTAAAGTTTTACATTTAATGCAAAATGCCAAAATAAAATTAATAGCCCTTCTGAGCTAATGCCCTTTGGGCTAAAAGTGGGGTACTATTTTGTTATCGGGACCAGAATCAGAAATGTATGAATGCATACAAGTGTGTATGTATGGGTATATGTAACACATACATACATTCGTACTTACATATATACATGCATACATGTATACATATATACATTTTTTTATCCAGTCCTGACAATAGAACAGCGCCAAAAATGTTTGCTTAGAAATAAAGAAATATATAAAGTTGGAAGAATGTCAACAAAATGTAAATGATATGTTATGATGATAATTCTAACACAAAGCCAATTCTGTAAACACAAAGCCAGATAAAAGGTTTGCATACTCAACATTTTAATGTATTCTTATTTGAAAACATAGGATAAATTAATTATTCTCAAACTTACATGAATGTTTGGTTCAAGTCTCTTAATTTCATCTTGATCAATGAGAGAGATATCTTTTACTTTATTTTCAGTTGCTCGTTTAAATAGTGCTTCAAGTCGGGAAATTTCTCTTTGATTAACAGCAACTATAAGCTGCAATAATAAAAGCATACTAAATAAAAAAATTGCAATTAAAGTCTAACATCTTAAAGAATTTACCATAAAGTTTTGAAAAATTAAAAAGCATAAAAATTACAGAGCTTTAAAAAACTGCAATTGAATCTTCATTATGCTTATTCCAGTTGAATGCATGAAACAATTTTAAGCTAAACATTAGAAACAATAATTAATATTATAATAGCTGTTTAGCTTAAAACATTAAAAACAATTTTAAGCTAAACAGCTATTATAATTAGCTCACTAGATTAAGAATTAATCTACTAGGAATTCAATGCACTGAATATGAAATGATATTGTTAAATAAATCAAATCGTTAAAAACAGCAATGCTAAATTTAAGGGGGGAAACATATTATTTCACTAAAAATCAGTGCCACATAAGAAACATGCATTTAATTCATAAAAAAGACCTAATTATTTAATATGTAGTTGTGCATGTTTTTCAGTGGATTGCTTGCACATAGGACTTACAATAAACATTCTTTTCAAGTGGCAATATTTTCCATTTTGCCAGGATACCAAATCTGCAGACTGAGAATAATAAACACCTCTAAGGATAAAAAAAAATCTGAAATGTTTCTTTTATTTAAGCCTTTAAAAAAATTATTGGCTTTTTGTGTCAAGACATATTATTCTTTAAACTTTTTCATGATAGAAGAGCAGTTAGCATTACATTAAACAAATACTCAATCATTCTTGATGATATAAGTTAAAATTACAAGTTGTAAAGAAATAAAGACAAGAATGATAATTTGAAACTGAGACATATATTCCTTATATTTTATTCTAATTTTTGACTTGCATATCAAATACTAATATGATCTAAGCCAAAACTAATACACCAGCCAGGAATAAAAACAAAAGCTAACTTATGCCTCAATTTGCTGTCTACAAGACTAATTTGAAAACAATCCTTCAGTGCTGCCAGATGTTGCTTCAGTTATTCAATAAAATTTCTCTCTTATAATACACTGTTTTGATAAGAATATGGATTTGTATCATTCCAGTGTAATCACTTTTTGTATGGCTTTTTCATCGAGCAGCACAGTGTGGAACTGAATAGCTGGATTGTAGTAATCAATATATACACTTAAGTAACAAAATTGGTATCTGTGTACCATTTTTGTAAAAATACTATAGCTTTCTACACTTTCACTAGCTAACAAACAATGAAAACTTTGTTAGGCTTGAACATGCAAAACTTTCATTATGATAATCATTAACAGTATGCCACAATTAATTATACACCAAATGAATGAAGAAATAATTATACATTTTTAATTTATTAATACCATCGTTCAAGATTCTTAGAATAAACATTAAATGCTACTTATAATCTGTAAGAAATGCTTCCTTATAATATGCATTATTAAATCACATATTGTTATCCACTTGCATATTTATTCACATTTTGTTTGATACACAATATTTAATGTTGTTCTGAACAAACTGTCTACAATAATACATTTAAACACAGATATAAAACTATATGATTAAACAGAAGATGAAGCTAGAAAGAAATATTCTCATATTTCTTCACAGAAAAGCTAAGCATCTATTAACACGAACCTTTAATAAATTATCACTTAGATATTTCTTCTTGTATCAAAAATTATAATTTTATTAAAAAAAAACATGAGTTTGCTAACCTATTACATGCATCTTACTTTTCCACATTTTTTGTAAGAAATATTGTGTTCAGAACAATATTTATATGCAAGTTCTAGGCCTTCTACACAAAGCTTTGCTTTCAAAGATCCAGGTGTATAGTAGATGCCAGAATGCATAACACCACTATTGTGACCACTTTGGTGTGCAGCTGAAATAAAATAATGAACATAAGAAGAGGACTAATAAGAAAGAATTAAAAATTAATAAGAATGTTATAAGAACTGATAAGAAAACTAAATTCAAAATAAATAATCATGGTCTATGTTTTAACATCATTCTTTTGCAGGTATACTTTTGGCTTTTATGCATCAACATAAATACAGTCATTCAAAATTATTTATTAAAATTTCATCAGCTTTCACTATTTAATAAATATATTCCCTTTGAAAACAGCAGAAGCCTTACTTCCAGGTAGAGTGGAACTGCTTAAAGAGCTACTGGTCAACTAATGAATTGCTTTTAAGTCAATTGTAAGCCAAACAACACTTATTTCACAAAGGGCAGTCTTTCTTTTTTCACAAAGGGCAGACTTATGAAAGACTTGGTATGTGAATGACCACGGAAATTTCTTGAATTTTGGATATTCAGGTGGAAAATGAATACAAAGCTAATAAAATTTTTTGGCAAGATGTTTTTGCTCTTGAAGAAGAGGAACATATGTCTGATAGATTTCAAAATCAAGAGTTTTATTCAAAACCTACAAAGATAATTGTTTATTCCAAAAAGTATGAAACCCTTTATAAAAGTATGAAGTACCAAAAAATATGAAATTCTGGCCTTTATTTATTACCTTTTATTCTTTTATTTAGTGCATCCATAATAAAAATCAACTTACCAATAACACTGGTGCCATTTAGCAGTACCTTTGTAATTTAACATACACAATACAAGAGTTCACTTTATTCATGAAAAAATTTCCTAGAATGGCCTTCTGAATATCCGAATGCAAAATAACGATAAAAAGCAGGTGTCAAATTATTGGGATGTAGTGAATATCATAATGCCAATCAGGAATCATATTACCTTGAAAAATGGTACCACAATGAAAATGATGCCCTAAATAACTCATCAGCAAATCTTAGGTACAGCAAGTGGCACCTGCAGCCACCAAATTTTGAACATACATACTCCTGCATCCAAACACGTGTACCTTGAAGCTCGATTTTTGAATTTATTCTTTATTTATGTTTTATTTAATTTAGAAAATTTCGTTTAAAAAATATTCATGAAATAGATGCATATGTCATTTCTGCATGCACATTGCTACAGCAACGTATGCTACCACAGCCAGGGCAAGGGTGAGGCGAAAAATTAAGAGGAATCAAATTAGTTGTGAAAAATTAGAAATTCATTTTAAAACAGGAGATATGACTGCTAACTTTAAACTTTGAAACATATCAAAAAGATATATTTTTAACCCACGAGCGCGCACGCTGGGTCCAATGGACATGCCCAATTAAAGAAACCTTTCTGAAAACGGCGCTACTTTCCCCAAGTGGTTGTAATTCAGTGTAGTCTCCTCCAAGGCCATCCTCTTTATGTTTCCAAAGTTTTTTGCTGGAAATTTTATTCGAAATTTGGTTTTAATCGGATCGGGTCTTTCAGACCCAGCGCGCCTATTCGCATTGCTGTAAGGTAGTTCATTTGTGGTAGCACAGAAAACTGCAAACATGTCGCATAATTTATAAGGAAGAAATGTTACTTTTGCAAAAATTATTTCATGTATCAACTGTTGAAGACTCCATTGAAGAAACTGATACAACTACTGCTCATAATACTATTACTAAATTGTCTGGAAACAACGGTAAGGCAAAATATGTGTAGACTCCAAATTAATCGTGGTAACTTTTACTAAGTGAACAAATATTGCTGAAAGTCGTCAGTTATACAAATATTTATATTGCAATTATTTCTGACAGCTTTCAAAGAGAGAGAGAGAGATGCTCATAATACAACTCTAACTGAAATTCGCACTTTTAAGAAGTCTTTTATATTTTTGTGACATAAGTCATCTCATGGAAATGTGCTGGATCTGCTGGCAATAGATGGAAGCGGCTTGGAAATTTTCCTTAAAACTATGTCCTACAAATGTTTTGTTTCTTTATAAAGATGTTTGCGTTTTGATAACATAGGAACTCGCGTTGTCAAGAACAAATCAGATAAACTTGCACCTATAAGAGAGTTTTTTGAAGATTTTGTGAATAACTGCCAGAAATATTACACTATCGGTGAGTTCATAACGATAAATAAAAAACTTTAAGCCTTCCGAGGAAGATGTTCTTTCAAGCAGTATATTTCCTGATAAACCTGAATAATAATTCCTGAATAACCTGAATAATAATATAATGAATTCTTAATAAATTCTATATTAATATAATACGTTTTTCTATTCCTTAAAAAAAATTATTTCATAAAGAATATTATAAAATTGAAATTAAAATTTTAATTTTTATAGTTTGCATATTTTTTAAGTTTGATCACAAAATTTTTGGCATAAATGTAACACTTTTACCTGAAGAGCAATGGTTTTCTCTTCAAAAAACAGAAGCCGGGTCCAGGGCGTGCACTTGTGCAACTCAAAAGAGCGTGCGCGTTCCCGTGTTAAAACATATTTAAAGTAACAAACTTTACCAGCACTTTTATAAGAATTTTAAAGCACTGCATTCCTCCATTATATTAGCTGCCTATCTAATTTCCATTACTCTTTTTTTTAAATTTATTTATTTTTTGTAGTCATTTTTTCAATCAGAACAGTGCCTCTCAATTCACATTTTGACATAGTTTAATGTCAACATAATAAACAGCAAAATTATTTAAATTCAAATTGATTGACAGATTTTATTACTTTACTGTGTTTTTTCTATCGTATTTTACCATTAATTTTTAGACAGAAATGTTCCTAAAAATTGAAAAGAAATTATTAATGCTTCCATCTTTTTCTGTGTCATAATAGCTGACTACCTAATTTCTATGAGCACCCCCTTTTTTAGGCAGGATAGTCATCTTTTCGATCAGAATGGTGCCTCTGGATTCACATTTTGACATAGTTTAGTGTTAACATAATAAACAGCAAAATTATTTAAATATGAATTGATTGACAGATCTTATCTTACTTTACTGTATTTTTCTATCATATGGTTTCCATTAATTCTTAGAAAGAAATTTAAAAGGATTTTGTATTATAAATATCTGAATTAAAAGGAGAATTAGTGGGATTAATTTGCTTCCCAAACATGCTGCAGCATTACAGTACTGTATATATAATTTTCTAAAGTTAAAATTTTTTTAATTGTAATTTATCATAATGAAGTTGGTTTACAGTAATAAGCTACACAGATTAAATGTTCCCATGTTGCTGAATCAGTAATTCTCTACTGTCTCCCTCTAACCTCAACTGTAGATTTTACCACTCTTATCTCACCATAAGGACAAAACACATTTATCTAAGTCCACAAACTGAGTATTGGCTCTATATTTGTTTCAGCAAGCCTAACACTCAAAAGCTAATTGTAATAGCATCCAGAGATTCAACTAGGATTTCTAATAAAAATAATAATAATAAAGGTTTTATAAAATAAGCTTTCATTTAAAACTTATAAAATCATTAATAAACTAAAAGAACAAAAATAATTTTTCTTATAATTTAATGAGAATAAAAGATTAAATAATTATCTTTATAAAATTCATATATGATTTTATCATAAATAATAATAGCGTTGGCACCCGTGATAAATTTATAAAGATAATGGTTTACACTTTTGACAATAAAATTCAATTTGATTTCATTATTTAGGCACTCATTTATCATTCATGATATAAAATTGTAGAACTTTACAAAGAGAGTTATTTAGTCTCTCTCTCACTCTCTCTTTTTTAAATTCTAATGGCATGTTACAAGACAAATGAGCATCAGATAAAATACATCAAATAAAAAAGATAAATTATTTTTCTCCTTTTAGTTTATTAATGATTTTAAGAGTTTTAAATAAATGTAACATAAATATAGGCCATGTGTAGCATAAATTCGAGCTAATTACAACCTTAAAAGATTTTCCATAATGGCATCCTTTTCCTTAGCCAGCTAGCTTTAATAGGCTTTGCCATATTGAATTAAACAAATAATAAATCGGTTGATCTTTACAATATGGTAACTGATACAATATGGTAACTGATAGATTTTGGAGGCGATAAAGGTTACTACCTGGGACTTTGGTTATAATGTGAGCAGTACTCAGTTCCGATTACGCATTATTTTGTGTGGGGGAAATGAGAGATCATGGGATATCTCATGTGATATTAATGGACGAATTACTGTTCTTTAATCGGGAAAAAATCTGGCAATTTTGTATTTGGCTTTATTCTGTGTTGTGTGAAATAGTGTTTGTGAATTTTTGGATCCCATAGCCGTAACTAAAGTGAATTCGAAATGGGTATTTAGTGGTATTGAAAAGGATAGTAATAAATGTTTTTTAAGGTTGTGCGAGAGAGAAATAAAGATGTTTTATTATGTTATTTATTTTACCTGGTATCTTGCTTTGAAAGATAAATATGATTTTAAAGATTCTGAAACAGAAGGAAGAAAAGTGTATCCGCCACGTAATCAAGATTCTGAAGAAGATTAGGTAAGTTAGTATTTTTAATTATTTGAGGATATTATTTTTATGCATTGTTCTAAATGTAAGGTGGAAAGGAATTTGGTATTATTGGGAAAATTGTTATTACAATGATTTAGTTTAAAGTAATTAGGATTGTAAGGTAATTTTTATTAATTTAATGTATGTGCTCATTTATATTTTAAGTAGTGTTTTTGAATTTAATTATATTTTAATGAAATGATAGTTATTTTGTGAATTTTATGTTTGTAGGAATTTGCTATATGTTTTAAGTTGAAAAATAAACGTGCATGGAAATAATTTAAATATTTGATATTAAGTATTTGTAATGCTTTGCGGTATGAATTCGTTGGTGACATGTTATAATGTAATAGATGATTTAGAGGTAAAAGTTTTTGGATGTTCTATTTATTTTATATGTGAAAAATGTTGATATTTGTAAAGGGTAAATACTTTTTCGCGATCATGTAATTTCATATATGTTCTTTTTTACCGGGTTTAAAGATTGAGAAAATTGTCATGTATTTTCGTGAAATTTATTAATTTATGAGAAAAAGCAGTGTACATGGATATAGTGAAGAGTGTGCGCAATGCCATTTTTGTGCAATTCTGGGATGTGTTTTTTTAAGTAAAAATAAGTCGACGTGTGCATGGTTTAGTGATATTGTAATGAAATGATAGTTATTTTGTGAATTTTATGCTTGTAGGAATTTGGTATACGTTTAAGTTGAAATAAACGTGCATGGAAATAATTTAAATATTTGATATTAAGTATTTGTAATGCTTGCGGTATAAATTCGTTGGTGACGTGTATAATGTAATAGATGATTTAGAGGTAAAAGTTTTTGGATATTCTATTTATTTTATATGTGGAAATGTTGATATTTGTAAAGGGTAAATACTTTTTCTCGATCATGTAATTTCATATATGTTCTTTTTACCGGGTTTAAAGATTGAGAAAATTGTCATGTATTTTCGTGAAATTTTTTTAATTTATGAGAAAAAAGCAGTGTACATGGATATAGTGCAGAGTGTGCGCAATGCCATTTTTGTGCAATTCTGGGATGTTTTTTTAAGTAAAAATAAGTTGCGGTGTACATGGTTTATGTGTATGTGTTATTTTGAAAAATGCGTAAGGAGGATGGTATTGTGCAGTTTTTCCTAATTTTGCAGTGAATATTTGTCATGATTAAGCAGTTTTGTTTGATAAAATTTCTAGCATAAGTGTAATTCGGCTAGTAGATTGTTGGAAGAAGTGTTCAGGAGATAAAAAGAAAAGAAACATGTCTTTACTTCGTGAAGACAAAATGGCGGCGGGGAAAAAAAAATAGAGGGTTGCTGTAGGAGAGTTGGTCGCGAAATTTTCACCAAAAAATCGCCAAGTTACCATAATGTAAAGATCAACCAAGAAATCTTAATAGAAGGATAATAATTTTGTTTACAGCTGATAAGAGAAAATATTCTTAAGAAATGTGAAAATTTCACTTCAGTGATAAATATATCTGGAGAACTTAGAAACGAGAAAGGAAGGTTAATTAATCAAGTAATCAAAAATCAATTAATAAGAAAATTAATTTTCAGAAAATACTTTTTCATTGTAGAAGTAAAAGGAGGGATAGTTTTTTAATCTCACAAACAAAATGGAGGTACAAAAATATTAAATGAGATGTCTTTCGATTTTCCTTTTCTAATCAATGAAAAACTAATATAATTAGATTTAGGTAATTCAGAAGTCAAACAACAAAAACCAGCGCCACATTTACAAAATTTTCACAGGACTAGTTTCGATGGTTTTACCGAACCACCATCTTCAGCTGCAAAACCGCAAATTTGCGGTTCTGAATTAGTATTTATTCGGCGTGTTATTGTGTCTTAATTAGATTTAGGTAATTTAGAAGGAGCTGCTTATAACTTAACAACACTGAAATATTCAAATGATATAAAGGCATTCAAATTTTCACCAGAAATGTCTAATATCAGTAACCAATTGTTTCTGAACACTATGCTGGTTCAATCTTTCAAAAGTAATTCACAAATCCTGTTTAGAATCTCTATCAGTTTAGAAATAATCTCTATCAGAATTTGGAATTTATGTTGAAATTTTTGTTAGTATTGCCAAGTTACTAGCGCTGAGAGAAGCTTGAAAAAACTTAAGAACATAAAAATTACGCAAGGTCTTTACTTGGTCACTAAAACCTTCTGTCTCTAAAACATAAATTAAGTAATTAAATAATTTTAAAAAAATGACTTTGCTTCATTAAAGGCAAGGAAAATATAAAGTATAAAAAATGAAACTTAATACAGTATTTTTTTATATTAATTGCATAACTATTTGTAACATTTAGGTATTATTTGCCAATTATAGAAAAGGCACTTTTTTAATACTTTTCATTTAAAAATTCTAAATCATTACTTGTATCACTTTCCTGAATATAAAAGATTAAAATATTAAGATTTAAAATAATTACCTTTATGAAAATGCTAGTCCACAAATGTAGTTAATTTGACTCTATTTGGGGTGCATATTTACCTCTTTGCCTCAAGTGAAAATATCTAGTTGTAACTAAAGTTTTCCGCCAAAAAACATTCTTAATAAAGTTAGAAAAAACACATGAAAGCAATATCTTTATTGTGATGATGGAAAGCTGATCAGCATCTTAATATTAAAAATAAAATACATATAAAGAATTTATTATTTACCAAGAGATGCTTCCTTTTCAACAAGTGCCAATTTAAGCGATGGATTTCTTAATAAGAGTTCCCTGGCTGTAGCAGTTCCAATGATTCCACCTCCGACAACCACAACATCATATGCAAAACGCTGCATATTAATGGCAATTCAATGTTTTAAAAATTATTTTATTAGTATACAGAAAGACTTACTGAGCGCAAAAGAAACACATTTAACATATGTAATGTATACAAGTTCAATGGTTAATAAATTTGAAGCTTAGCATAAATAGTTAAAAATAACAAAATTCCCTCGCCGGCACGTTTTGTCAACAAACAGAAAACTGTTATAACTGTTGCCAATTTATTAATTACATTAAATGTTTATCTGAAGTGGTTTGTACATAGCATTACATAATTAGTAATTATTATATATTATTAATAATTTATTATTAGTAAATATTTTCCCATACGTAATTCATATAACAAGCTAGTCAAGCAGATTTACAAATGAGACTCCAAGAAATAAATAAACGAAATATGGCTTGAACAAATTCACTTAAAACTCGCTATCTCAGGTTTAGGCATTGACTTCGAATGTATTAAAATCGATTACACCAACTTACCTTTATGAAATAAATTCGAAAAGAATTTTCGCAATGAAAGGATAAAAGTGAAATTATGTTGTACTGATGGGCAGAGAAGATAAAATATGGTTGAAGGGAAAATATCTGCCAGTCCACTGAAGCATGCTAACTTACTTCAAGCGCTTCACAACAGAAAGATTATAACAGAATTTCCTTTTCGACATCTGGTTAAGATGGCATCGAAACTATAATCTTGTGAATATCAATAACATGTGATCTGTGAATATTAATAATAGGTCTAGGCCCTATACTTCAAATTATCCTATAAGTTCCCATTATCTTATTTATTTATTATAAAACTTAGAAAGTATTAAGAGTAGTCTCTTAATACTTACTTTCTAAGTTTTATAATTAATGAAAGAATGCTGTTCCCTGAATGATTATGATCTTACTCAGACTCTGAAAAGAATACGATATTAATGCTTGATCTTTGTCATTTCTTTCTGAAACTGTAGACCTTTTAACTTGCACTTCGCATCTCCGATGACTGAATGAACGTCATTCCTCTATCTTGAAATCTTCCAAGGCGCTGACGCAGTTTCAGATTGGCGATTTGCAATTGTAGCGAATGCTCACCGCCTAGTAGCAAAGAGACAAAAACAAAAATAGCGCTAAAAAAAAAAAAAAAAAAAAAAAAAGAAAAACAGCGCAGTTGACTTACTATTGCTGAAAACGATCTGCGAACTGCTGTTGCAAATACCTACAGCCTGTTTCTTTATGACATAAATGTGATTTTTTTCGGAAATGGTGTTTAAGAAAAATATAATACTAATTGTTTTGCACTTTAGTGTACTTCCGTTTTTGTTAGCCAAAGAGAGGAATAGATTACAGTTCTTTGGATTGGAAAATTGGTTTCATGAATTATCTGGGCGTGTGTGCATTTCACTCCTGGTGAATATAATTTACTACCATTGAGGCTGTCTTAGGCCATGCGAGGCATGCTAGTAAACTTGAAATTGTGAAGAGGCACTTTCTCGTATGCCCTCATTGATACCTAAATTACTTTATTTATACAATGTAAATGCTTTGCAAACACGGTCTTCGTAAACTACATATATATGTGTGACAGGAACAATCATAATAAACTTCAGCTCATTAAACACTTTTTCTCCAAGTTTTATTTATGATCGAAAATGAATGAAAAAAAATTACAGCCTTGGCTTCATCAATGCAGAGAATGATTCAACAAGGAGTTTATGACTGTCACAGGATTCTCTTACAGAAGGAAATTAAAGTTAGGAAGCGATGAAAAACTGTTAAAATCAATTCAACGTACTATCAAATTTTACTTTTGAATACACGTAATTCAAACTTACATTCATTCATATAATTTTTTTTAAATTTGGTGTTCAACAGGAAATAAAAGTTCAAAATACGCCCGTTTCCTCCTTTTGTTTATCTCACATTTTCTTCGTGTTATTTTAACATTACAGTTTTTGATTTAGTATTTAGTAAACGTAATATTTACTGAAGAAATTCCATTTCTTTATCCTAAAGACTTTCAAAGAATGAAACTTCATCAAGACAAAGCAACAAGTAATACTTCAAAAGTGCCACTGCATTCCTTAAAAAATAATGAAGATTAATGCAGGTACTGCATATACATACTTTCAATTTCTTCCTGCAGTTCCTTGTCAAGGTATTCCTGCGAAGCACTGTATGTTATGTCTTCCCTAACCGGGGTTATTTGAGGTGCCTGTAACAGCGGGATATAATTCCTGCTGAAAACAGGCATATTAAAAGTATCAAAGTAAAGTAACATACTTTCAACGTAGTCTTGCGGTATCCTTTAAGTTTCACCTAAGCACTATTCGGCCTTTGGTATCTTGAAAAGACTTGTTTTCCTTTGGTCCAAAGCACAATTGTATCTAAAAGGACTATTGTGCCTTTGGTCTTTCTAAACACAAACTCATCACGATTGATAGACTTTGGAAAGTAATGGAAGAAGATGGAAATCAATTCCCCCAGAAATTTTACAAAAAGTTCTTCTGCCATGGAAATAACGATGCAGGCTTATAGCCCAGAAAAATGTTTTAAGAGCGAACGTTTAAAAAAGTACACTTTACATTTTAAACATTAATTAAGCAACCTCGAGATCATCCTAAAAATGTACCACCCTTTGTACTTGTATGACAGAAATAATTTTGCCTTCATTTTTTATTAAAATAATTAAAACCGTCCCAAGTCATCATTAAAATGCCTAATATTTATAATTTTCTAAAATCTTTTTCAACTTTTCTATAACGACACTTTTTTCGGGATTCCAGAATTTTAAACTAAGGAATATTTTAAAATTTTCTGTACTTCTGATATCTACTTCATTTTCCCGACCACATTCTGCTATTGTCACAATATGAATTGTAAAAAAAGAATTCAAAATAAATTTCGGCCGTTGAAAGCAATTTAAATGCTTCATACAGTGGCTCACATTTGTTTTCGGACACTTGAATTTTCTGTTTATTTGCAAATATCAGTTAGTAAATATTAGCAAAATTACTTATATACAGCATATAATATTATTATAATTATTACGTGCTCCGCCCTAAGGCACGACACGGAAGGGATGTAAGCCTTCATGGAATAATTTCTAAGGCAAACTGACTCGTATTAACACGTTACACATGGGGAAACCCCGGGAATTGCCCATGCAGCCAATCCGTTCGAGGGATTTGAAACTCGGATCGAACTACCAGTGTTCAGGGCTGTGGCCGCTCGGCCGTAGGTGGGCCTCGCATATACAATTAATCATCTATTTTAAAACTTGCTTGTTTTGAAAAAAGTATTCAAAACATTTTTGGTAAAAAATAATAATTTATTCCAAAAGTTTTGCAAATGAACTCCCATAACTATATCAACGCTTTGAATGAACGGTGTATATTTAACAAAAACATGAAAATAATGGAATTTAAAATAGCTAAATATGAACTTTCAAATTTTAATATTTGTTACTGTAACTTGTAATGATAAAACAATTTATTAAATATTATTCTTATGCACAAGCTTAATAATATTTCAGATAATATTTTCGAGCTCTAGTGTAGAATTGGGTGCCCCTTCGATTAACGACAAATTTTGTTCAAAACCCCAAGTGTCCCATCACTTTGGAGATGAAACCCCATTTCTGGTTACCCTAATAGTTTTAACTTTGTTTTAGCTGCTTGATTTTTTTAAAGTGAAAATAAATCGATGTGTAAATAAAAATAATCGATGACCCAATTGTAAACTTTTACCTATTTTCGTTCAGTTTGCCAGTAACGAAATGTAATCATCATACAAATAAAAATAATTGCCAAACCCTTCTACTCTCCTGAAATTTCTTAAAACCAATTTAATCAGGATTCAGATACAGATTAATAGTGACCGTTACTATGTTCTAAACGAGATCCACAGTAATTCCATTTTTGATATTTTATTAGCTTCTATATAATTAAATCAATGCAATATTTCAAGAAAAATAACAGTAACATATGGAATGAGAGAATATTTAATAGTCACATTTATCATAATAAAAGTGCATTAAACTATATTTTAATCTTCGATTTGTACGTATCAAAATGCTGTTACATTCGTTATTCTGAGAACGTCGTGCATCGGTAAAGGCGAAAACACACACAAAATGCAAATACACTGCGGAAAAAAAAGGGAGGGGGGAGTTTTATATCTCCCTTTCTACTGGACCGATTGAAGAAATTCAAATTGTTTTTTTCATGTCTCGAAAGCGCGACTTAGGATATATATTAGATTTATATACAGCATTGTTCTGCTATAGGTATTTTCACTCAAAATTGGACTTTTTCTGAAATGACATGCCAATTTTTTTTTACATATTTCGATTCTAAGACTCAAATTATGCTTAAATATTAAATTTTGTAAAATTGGGTACGAAATTTAAGCATAAATTCACACATTTATCTTGGCGGGTTTTTATTTTTTTTCCCAGTTTGCGCCAAGAGTTTGCGCCAGTTTGCGCCACTTAGAGAACTTCTTAATATATAGCAACTATTTTCCTTTCCCTTTTTACATTGTGCATGAAGGGGAAAAAAGCCACATCGTTCATACTTTCAAATAATTTTAGCAAAGTGCTTAAATTAAATTTGATTTCATTACCGCTTTCAACAAATATGCCAAATTTCAAAACGCGCCAATATGTAAATTCACGTACTATATCTTCAGAAATTTTGAATAAAAAACTCTAATTTTTTGCAGGTGTGCCTAGAAGTACATCAACTTTAAGATGATGGCAAAAATTTCATAGATTATAATTCAAAAATTTTTTCGAAAAATTTTTAAGAATACAAATTTAAAAATAAATCATAAAAAATGAACGAATTTTATTTGTAATGAACCTAAATTTCGAAATGCGAAAGGAAAAATGAAATAAGTTTAATAAAAAGAGAAATTAATAAATATATACATTGAAGAGCTAAAATTTTGAAAGCTAATTTTTTATAAACCACTCATGCGATTTTTACAAAACTTGGCAATTTGGCATAATTTGAGTCGTAGAATCGGAATGTGGAAAGTCGCGCTTTTAAGACATGAAAAACACAAGCTGAACTTCGTCAATCGGCCCAGTAGAACGGAAAAAACAGGAACAGTCCATTTCCCCCCCCTCTCGCGAATATACTTAAGAAAACCATTTAAATATTACATTTTTAGAATTCAACGCTTGTTGCCAACACTAATCAGACCATTCAAAATATAATGAGTATTCCATCTATTGCCAAACGATTGTTTGAATTTTGCCTAATCCCAACATTCTTAAGGTTTTTTCTTTTTTTCTTTTTTTTTTTTTTTTAAATGGTACTAGTAATTCTTAAAGTATTGTATTATAAATTTATAGTTTAATTTTTAGCTATATGATTTAATTATTATGATGATTGATTCAGAATAAATTGTTGTAACAAAGTAGGTAAAGGTAAGAAAACTGCTGCAAAAAGCAGTCTTTTTTTATTTAAATATTTTATTATGCTTCAGTAACTGGCATTGCCTCCAAATATTTTGTATTATTATATAGAATTAGTTTGTTTGTGTAAAAACCTGAAGACAGTTTCATTTAGTTTTTTTAACGAATTGGAAATAGGTAGGAAATAGAAAATGGTACAAATATATGATTCCTTACACACTGCTTTAGAAAATACCATTACTTTAGTAGTAAGTTTTTATTTATTTATTTATTATTTAAGTCGTTATTCGCGTATACATGTGACCTTTCACTAGTACATATTTCCAATAAAATAATTTCAGCATTTGAAGATATAATGATACCTCTTGATCGCTTGCATTCGAATAAATTTAATAAGGCTTTTAATTAAATAATTATTTGTTTTGTAGAACGTGCAACCATTTTACTATTGAAGGAAATATTTATTTTAATTTTACAAAGCAAGACATTGAAGATTTTTTTAATTTTTATTTTTATTATTATTTTTTTTTTTTTTTTTTTTTTTTTTTTTTTTTTTTAGATTAGGATACTTGTGTGAATGAAAAAAACTTACTCAGTTCAAATTTTATTAATGACATGCTATCTAAATATTTATCTGTTTATTTTACACTCTGAGAAGTTCAAGCCATTGAAAATGCAGTTTCTAATGCAAATATTTCTCCTAATTTAGAAAATCGTGTTAAAATTAAAGAGAAAATACTGGGCTCTGTTATTTTGTGTACAATTAATTCATTAAGATATATGTAGACTGTGAAATTACAGAACAACTTTAAAATAAATATCATTAATTACATTTTAGTCTCTTTTAAAAGAGTTTGATATTTGAATCAATTAAAATTAATTCAGAAATAACTTATTTTGCCAAAAGAAGTTGGGAGTGAAACAACTTCATTTAGTGGAGGCAGAGAAATGAGTAACTATTAGCATATTTATACTTATCCGTATTTTACATTCGATTTTCTCATTTTTATGAAAATTTTTAAATCTTTTCAAGTACATTTTAATTTTTTAAACGTATTGATATGAATATTAGTTTTTATATCTTAGTAATTTAAGACAATTCTGAATCACAAAAGAAAAAATTGCTGGATTAATTTAGTTACAATATATTTCTTAGAGAGTGTAACATCTAGAACCTTTCTTGCGCATAGGTATAAAGGAGCATACCCACAAATCAATCTTACTATTGTCATATACACAACAAAGTATCGGGACACTAACTAAATAACAGCATTCTTCCAAAAGAAAAAAATCTGATGTGTACACCCCATGACTTCCTTGTGGAATATTAAATTATACGCATTTTTTGCATTATTTAAACTTAAAGATTGAATTAAACCTACTCGCCGACAGAGCATAAACCACAATAGATAAATGCATTCTTTAAAATTCACTTGTTTACCATAGCGACACTCTGGCGCTAGGTTACTTAACCAGTATTATATTCATTCATATTATAACTCAGAATGCACAAAAGTATATCATTTAAAGAATATTCTAATCGTTGCACACATGTTCTATCAATACTATAATAAGCTAGAACGATGTATAAAAGAATTAAGCAATAAAACAAAAAAGAAATAGTTTTTCGCAGACGATTGGTATTTCTCATTTAATTATTCAGTTCTCCCTTCGCGAAAAAGGCCAAAAAAATACTAAAAACTCAAAATATCTATATTAAAAATTACGAAGAAATCTCAAACACTTATTTCCTCGAAAAAATTCCAGAAGGATTAAGCATGATTTAAATAATAAATGAAAGCGTTATCTTGTTGTGCGAAGCTAAATTTCTAGATTGGCAAAAAATCCACTAGTCTCCAGTTTCAAATGTAAACATCAATGGCCGCATTAAAAAAGGCCTTAGCGGCAATTAAACAACTTTAAATTGGTGATATTCTAAAAATATTGCACACAGATTACTAAAGGCATAAAATCCTTAACCGGAAGATAAAAAACAATATAATTCATCATTTAAAGAAAAAAATGTACAATTTACAAAAGATAAGAGTGAAGAAACTGAGACACTGAGCCGGGGTAAAGAGTGGATATGTATATATATATATATATATATATATATACGTTGGTGCGGCGGATGCAACCAAAATACGAGGTGCACATCTACATGTTATAGCAGTCCTTATACAAAATTTCAACGTTCTGAGGCTACTCGTTTTTGAGTTATGCGAGATAGTACGTAGTAAACGTTGTACAGACGCCACGAAAATCTCTTCAGAATAATTTTAAAGCAGTTTTTAATTTTTTGAAGGAAAAGGGTATTTTATTCTGTCCTTACGTACAGATATGACGCAAAACCATCGTTAAATTGCATTCGGTAGCGGTCAAAATGGATATTTTCGTTGAAATATGCTGCCTGAATCTTTTCGCGATTACAATACTTCCTTTTTACTTCGTACAAGAAAGTAAAAGAAAAGCAAACTAGACATTTGGTCTCTCATCTAAAGAGATCAGATGCTCTGGATTGTATTAAACAGTATTAACAGTTAACATGAATATTTTAACGTATTTTTCTTGTATTTTCATGGAGATGTTTTAGCGGGATCAGAAATTAAATAATCCATGTGCTTAGATATATGTTTAAGAAACTCGCGAGGTTCACAAAAATGATGGTTATTTTATATTTATTGCGTGCTCCGCCTTTAAGCACTACATGGAAAGGGAGGGATACTCATGAAGGACGTTTTAGGGGAAAATGGCTCGTATCCACATTACATATGGCGTAAATCACGAAAACGCCCACACAGCCAGCTCGTTCGCCAGGACCTGAACTCGGAGCAGCGTTTAGTAGCTTTTACCACTCGTCCGTTGGTTGGCCAACAATGATTGTTTGTGATCAGTTTTCGCATTTTTATTCCAGTTATTGTTCGTACATTAAAATATAAACAGTAAAAGGTGCTACTATGGTAGACGGTTGCACGGATTTTGGCGATTTTTTTTTTTTTTTTTTTTGCTAGCGATACGACTTATGGTAAACCCATTGGTAGACAAGTTATTTATGGTAACCGATACTTTGTTGTCATTTTATTTAAAAATAATGCCTTTATTACGCATAAATCCGTGTTTTAAATATTATATGACTTCTAAATATAAAAATGAATTTAATTTTGCATTTTTATTTTAAATAAAAATTTTATTGTTATGATATTTATGAATTTTATGTTGTGAATGATGTAATGAATGATGTCACATTATTTTAAAAGTAATTGGTTTTAATATCTATAAATTTAATCTAATGTTTTAAAATATTATTTATGGCTGTTAAATATTAAAACACAATTTAATTTGCATTTTTTTAATATGATTTTATTATGAATGATTATTTAAATAATTTTAATTCTAAGCGTGATGTAATCAGCTCCCTGATGGTTACTGAATATTTGTGCATTACCGCGCCATTTTAAAATTTTATTATTCATCTCTTCGAATTCCTCAGATTTCAAAGCGAATGGATGTCTCCATTTCGAAGATGAATGTTGTATGGTAATTACCAAGAATTATTGGTATCGGCATATAAAAATTCCCTTTGAGACCTTATTTTGGCCAACTGGATTTCCTAATCAAAGATTTATTTATGTTACAAGGGTCAGAGGAAAATTTATTAAAAATTTTGGAGGAAACCTCGCTAATTGCTTCTTCAATGAAGTGCGAAAAATGTGGATAACAGATCAAGATTTTTTTTTTTTCCCTCTGGTACTTATCAATATATGCGTAAAGTAAAATGCTTAAAAAAAAGTAAGTACATATTTTCATTTACTTTATTATTGTATACTTCAATTTTTATTAAAAAATTAATACACTTTTTTTTAAAAACTCCTGAGATATTTATTGCCACATGTTTAAGTTAAATAATTTTATCCTATAAACTTATTTTAAAGGATTGAATTAAGTAATTGAAAATTTTAATTCTTTTAAACGTTGGTATGTGTTTTAATTCAATATTCAATTTAAGTAATATTTTATTCCCATTAAATGTTGGCAAATGTTTTTAATATTATATGAAAGTAATAATTTAACCTTACTTTAGCATTTTATACTCTTAGTAAATGTATTTATTTACATTTGCCAGCCATCTAATAAAAACAACGTTTTCAACAAAAAATTAATCCATTATTTTTAACGATATTTACTTTTTTAAAGTTTCGAATACTTTACTATGCGTAAAATACGTAAAAACAGCATTTTTCAAGATGGCTGACGACTGTAAAAACAGCGCGAACAATTGCGCCAATGTAAATGGCCAAAAATCCGTGCAACCGTCTACCAAAGTAGTACCCAGTAAAATTTAATAACCTATTTTTTTAAATGGATCATATCCAGAAAATTTCGTAGAATAAAAAAGCTCAGGGACAATTTAAATTTTGCAAGAACATATTTTAATAAATACACTTGAAAACGAATTATTCACTAAAATATTGCAATTATACGCATGTGTAACAGCCATAAAACTGAGCAGTTGCCCTAAACTCAGCTAAATAAATCGGTACTCTTCTGTTTTCAGGACCCGATTTCAGTAATGTATGTACGTATACATGTATGTACTCATGTATGCTTGCATATATGTAGGTAGTACACTGCGTAAAAACAAAAATGGGACAGTTCTGTATCTCCCGTGCTACTGGGCCTATTGACGAAATTCAAACTACGTTGTTTATGTATGGTGAAATAAATTAAGAGAATTTGCTTATTTGATCTACGACCTCCAGAACTACTGGACAGATTTTAATAAAATTTGGTGTGAACATAGGTTGATATAATACAAACAAAATAAACATTCAACAGCTATAATAGACACACATGCTCGTGTGTAACACTCATGGGAGTCTGAAGGTCAGAAGCAGCGGTTGCAGAAGACCCAAAAGAAATTTGTTAATAGGGGGGGTATGGTCCCCTCTTACAGCCATACAGGCCTCGCAGCGTGTTGTCATACTGGAAATTTATCACTGCAAGGCAGTTTGTCAGTGCTTGTGGCAATTGGTCCCACTCATTGAGCAACGCAGTTTTCAGTTCCTGGATGGTTCTCGGAGGGGGGTTGCGAGTTCCAGTTGCCCTCCCTAAGCGTTCCAGACATGCTGTATAAGGTTGAAGTTTGAAGACCTGACTGGCCAATCCATCCAGCAAATATCCTCATTCTCAAGAAATTCGTCGACCAGAAGAGCTCTATATGGCCTCGCGTTATCGTCCTGTAAGATGA